ATTTAGTACATAATTATATTATTTTATATAATAGGTGAACACTAACACAACAACGTGTTTAGTATCACGACCTTAGAAGAGACTCCTGATGTTTAGTGATTTTATTAGATGCAGGAACAACTCCTGACAGTGTTCCAAATATTATATTTGAAAAAAGTTACGAAAACCTCAATAATGACCAAATAATAGGGTGGTCTTCTCGTACTGGTATGAGACACTATAGGTGGTTGAGAGGACCTATCAACCATCTTCAAAGAGAGCAAAGATCGGAATATGTAGCAAATACAATTTGCCGCATCTTGGACTTCCTCAATATATGAAGATCACTCCTCATGGAGCTCGTCTCTAGAAGGAAGGATAATATCATGGACATATATATTTATCTCAATAGTTACTTATATGATTAAGTAGAAGTAGATAAATATGGAATAATTTCATAAAGTCTTTTAGAAAAGCTTCTTAGAAGCTTCATAGACACAGTTTTAACTTTAGATGTATTTATAGATTAGAAACTTGGCCAAAAAGCTAATCATGTATTGATAGCTTGTGGAATAAGTTATCTCCGTATAATAGCTTATGGAACAAGCCAACTACGTGGTGCATACATACATAACTTGCCTTGCAAGATAAGACATGTGGCTAGCAAAGTCAACACTTGTTGGAGGTCCTATAGGATATTGTCACTTAGTTCTTAGTTAGATAGTATATATGGAGGCAAGAGTGAAGCCTTCTTCACTCTTGTCAATGCCTTTCTAGTCTTAATCTTGTTTCAAGTCTTTCTAATCTTTTTATTTTTTATAATAGCCATTCTAGTTAATATTACATCACCTTTTGAGTGACTTTCTAGTTCTCTGCAGTGATAGAAGAGTGTATTGAAGATTCTCTTTCTTTGAGATTCATGTCCTTGACACCTTAGTTCCACATCTCACTGGACCCTAAATTTCAAACCTTATAAAAATCGATCCATTATCTTTGCTTTTGAAACATTATAAATTTAAAGATATATGAACTTGAATCAGAAGATATAATATTGCATCAACCTAAATTATATAAGATTTGTTAAATGATTGCATGCTATTTTTTTTGTACCAATGGCCCAAAATTGATTCTTTAAATTGGTTTCAAACTTCTCTAAATCACAAAATCTACCTTGAGCTCTATAACTTTGAATTCAATGCCACCACTAAATGACTACCGCATCTTTCAAATAGTTGGCTGAAAACACAATTCTTTTAGTAGTATTTGCCTAGATAGTTGGAGGTATTATTGCATGTTGAAGAGCCATTGACATACAACTTTTTGTCTTAAAATTCTACAATATGTATTAAGCTCATTCAATTTTAGCTTAACAAATGTCAACTTTCTTATCCTAAAGGCTTCTATTTATCCATGCAAAGTGATTATTTAGCCTAAGAAGTATTATGTTTTAGCCTCCATCTAAGATTGTTTTGCCATATCTTCCATGTTATAATTTCTTTGCTAGACTCCACTATTATAATATCTTCTCATCTTTCAATTGACTTTTTAAGAATAGCTTATAATAACCTCAATATAATATCCAATGTAACCACAACAATTGATCTCTAACTAAATGATAGCTATCAACACATTGTCAAGGTAGAAAGAATTTTCTTCAAGAAAACATTGGGCTTTTGGTTGTCACTAATTGCTCAATCAAGCTTCAAAATAAGAGAAGCCTTAAGTTTATATATAAATTTTTCTTTTTTGAGCAATTACACCAAATACATAAGCCTCAAGTAACCAACAACATCCAAAATATGATAAAATCCTCTAAGACCTTATATATCCTTGTGTAAAAATTTTCTCGAACTTCATCACCTCATATCTCCTAATTTGACCATCCAAACAAACTCAAATTTTACAAGAGGTACTAATATATTTTCATTAACTTCTACAATCAATTTCAATTGTAAATTCATTGTGGATTTTGAGATATCTTGAAAATCCTAATAGTCACTTTAAATCCTTGTCTTTATACACTTGCATGTAATTTTCTTGAATGATATAGGCCTTGAAATCACCATTCTAGCCACATCTTTCGATGTTCAAAAGCTGCCGTGCAACTCCTTATATCTTCAAAAGAGTAACAGTATGACTTAAATTAACATCTTAACTTCAAATAGCTATATTTTCTTCACTCTAACTCCAAATCCTCTAATTTTATACATAGATTGTAGCCCAAATCCTAAACTTTACAATCTTAGATTCTAATTCCTAAATGCTCTCTTTGAAATTATCAAAATCTTTGTTAAGGTTGCAAGTAGCCTCCTCAAAGCCCATTGGGCATGGTATTCAATCAATAGGAATAAAGTTCTCCATTTCTTGCCTTCATCCAACCATGCCTTACTTTCATCCCTTCCAATTAGCCTCCTACTAGTTTAGATTTTCATCCTTATGCTTCTACCTTCTCCCAAGGCTTCATATTAAATATTTAGGTCCTATATTTTTTTTAATTCCAAAATCAAAATAAGTAAATAAGACTAAGTAAAGTTTCTTATATCAACTCCTTTTAATTTAATCTACTAACCATTCTAATACACATCTAGATTTATTAACATATAATATGTTTTAACTAATTTTTATATATTATAAGCATTTACAATACAACAACACTATCAAAGAATAGACAACACTTACTCTGATACCAATGAAATAAAACTTGTCTATCTTGAGAATCTAAGACTCTTATGATCTACAACAATAAAAAAACCTCACAAAAAAATAGGACAAAATGGATTAGAACAAAACTAAACAGAACTAAATAGAATAAGACACAAAAGACAAAAGTATACAAACAAAAATAGATCAAAATAGAACTGAATAGGAAGATATAAAACCATACTTTACTAAGAAAGAAGGTTCAAAGCCATACTTGACCACATGCCTAAAAGGCCCTGGCCAATCCTATTTATACATGTTCTACCACCCTCGACTTTCTAAAATATTCCTAAATGATGGACCCTACTTAGATAACCTCCCTAAACTCCTTTTGGAAGGCTCCATGGTGGATCTCAACTAAATAAGTGTAATAGGCTCATTCTAAAATGTTCCACGATGGATCCTACATGGTCCACTAATTTAATCCCAATTTTAGAAACTTCCATAACTTCTCAAATATGGTTCCAATTATCTATTTTTATATGTCAATAATATAAGTATCTTATCTATACCTTGTTACAGTAAAAGTCTTTAAAATTTTGATCTTATTCTATTAAAATTCTCCAACATATTTATCTTTATATCCTTTATATTTATAATAACAATGTTTTTTAGAATAATTTATAAGATTGATTTACTTTTTTTTCTTAATTATACAATTTCTTGGCGTAGACATTAAATCCTATTAATAACTTCTTTATAGACATAAGAATAATACATCCATAGTTGATATTAGTAATTTATCTCTATTTAAATTTTTATATATATATATGTTAGAAATATAATTAAAATTAATGTAGCATTTATTGGATAATAAAATATTTATTTAGAAATGAAAAATAAATAAATAAATAAATAAATAATTGAAAGCAATAAAAATATATGTTATTTCAAACTATTGTTTAAAAATAAACTTCTTTTTATTTGTGATCTACACTTAAATATTTACCTTTTGATTTGTAAGGTTTGATGAATTTATATATGGGCATAATATTGTTTTTTAATCCTATTTTTCTCCAGTTTTTTAAATCCTTTAGTTTTATATTTTCCTTCTTATCTTGTAAAAAAATCAATATTTACTTCTTTTTTACATTAAAAAGATAATACCTACACATATTCATATTTATAAACTCTTGCATTTAATCAAAAATTAAATCATATAAAGATATTTAATTTTCTGGTGTATTTTTTTTTTTGTATTTAAATGGTTATTAAAGTTACAAAAAATTACAACACATTTCTTTTCATTTTAAAAGTACATTAAATTTTTGTATATTTAAGTAAAATAAAAATTAGAAATACGCTATATGTATTTATTTTATTTTTTCAAATATAATTTTATAATTTTTTACCTAAATTTATATCTTTTGTTTTTTATTTGTTTACAAACTGGTAAATATTAATGTAATTGTGGATTTCTAAGTTCTATATGATAATAAACCATTCTGGATGTTAAACAGACAAACACATGTCGTGTTACTGTTGAATCTACCCTTATATTCAATCGTGTCAACCTTGAGATTTTACAAATAATTATAATTTTGGCTCAAACAACAGTACAACACACCATGTAGTGGATGAATAAGCACGTGTTCAATCAGAAAGAGTTTACTAATTTATTTTGTTCGTTTTGTTCTTATCTTCAATTTTTGAAATGTTATCTTTCTACATTATACATGGACTGAAGAGCGTCATTTACTAACGACTGACATAATAAATGCCACCTAATTCGAACAGGCTTTGAATCTCCTGCATGCATGCGTCTGATCCGAAAAGAGAAAGCTGTGAGAAATAGAGTGTTCCAGCACATCTATTATAATATATATATAAATAGATGTAACCTTCGTCACCTATCTAGGGCAGATTTTGCGGACATATCAGGTACTGCGACGACGTGGATGGCCCAAGTGGAAGTGAGAAGAAAAAAGCAAGGACGACGCGTCGTAAGTTGGAATCGACCACGCATTGGAAACGACCAGTTCCTTCGACGCACACAAAGGGTTCTGAATGCTGATGGAGGGCAACATGATGCGCGGTTATTTGAACTGGTGACGGGGGGCCCCGCAAAATTCATCAAGCATCACAAGGCTCCACAGCATGATGACAATTCCTTCGACTTAAGGCCCGGAATCGGACACGCATGGACCAGAGGTGGGAAGAGAAATACCGAGGGCATTCAATCTTGTGACACTGATCAAGATCAAAATAGGCCCAAATGATTGTAAGAAATCTTCGAAAATAATAAGAGCAGCAAGATGGAATTTACAAATACAGGTATGAAAGAATACAAGCCAGTATATACAGTAATTCGCTGTCACGTAGAACTTTCAAAGCGATGAGATGTTATCTGTTCTTTATTCAAATGGGTACATCACAAGAGTAGATAACCAACCACTGATATCAACAAAAACAAGTGGACATTTCAATAGTTTCATGCCGTATATTGTACAGTACATGATGCAGACGTTCAAATAGTAGGAAAGCTCAAACAGTTGATACTCCCTTCTACACGGCTTTTCATTCCCCCAATAGCGGCTCCACTTAGCCTCCAGCCAGCTTTCTCATTTCTTCTTTCACTGGAAATTGTAAAGCAGAGATACTAGTAACAAACTCGTGAAGAACCTCAACGGACTCTCTAGGAAAATTGTATATCATATAGTGCAGCAAAAAACGCTCATAAACTTCTGACAGTCGGTAAGAGCTCTCAACGGTGCCTCCAAGTGAGGACCCTTGATAGACTCATCTTACTCGAGTTACACATCTTACGAAAGAAGAGGCAGCAGTTTGCAACCCATGTCCCCGCCAAACATCGGTGATAAGAAGCTGGGACGAACGTGAGGAGGAGTCGTGTCAAGGCTTGTGACTGAGCCCTCAGAATTCACAGAGTCGCAAGGACTGTAAACTCTCTTCAATCCCGTAATCTGTCCCCCTTTACCATCCTTCACCTTCAGCGTCAGGCCAAGGTCAAGATGTTCGGTAGAGCCAACAACGGTTTCCTGATCATCACAGAGAGATTCCTTGATGGCCATGCCACCAGGAAAGCCATATTCACCAACCACACAAGGTTTCAATCTCCTAGGAGCAGGGGCCAGCACATGCGCTCCCATCGAAAAATCTCGCTCTCTTTTCTCCCCAACCTTGTGTGCTACACTTCCGACGGCCTCAGACCACATGATCAGATTAGATTTAACATTACCCTTCGCTGCGCCTTGTTCTTGCTTCTTTGGGAGGTCATTCTGTTGAAAATTGCCATCCCACTTGCGATCCCATGTTGATTTGACAGCAGCAGCGGCAGCGGCATGATCTTTGCTTTCATAAACGTTTGTCATCTGGAACTGCCCTGGTGTAGATGCTATTCCTGCCCTTGGTTTGCAAAGATCATGAGTACTTTCCTTAGCCGAGATGAGGACGCTTGGCATCAGACTATCCCTTCCTCTAGATCCAGCTGGTGTATCTGTTCCGGGAATGGAGGGATGAAGGGGTCCTTGTGGCAGAGTAGAGAAACTCGGCGAACATGAAGACGGTGCTTTTAAGACACCTCCCTTTAGAACAGTCTCTACAGCAGCCTGACAGACTTGCCAATTGCCAGCCCATAGAAGCCCCACTGCCCCAAAGACAGGATTCACGGTTCTCCCGCAGGCTTCGTAGAGCAGAGACTGAAAAAGAGCTGTAAAGGACAAAACATACACATTAGCATCCATCAAAAGAGTATGCCAAAGATCAACGCAAGAATGGAGAAAGAAGGGGGGTAGACGCAATATGGTTTCTATAATTGTAAATCTGAAACGAGAAAATGGCACTAGAATATACTATGTGCGTAGCATGTAAATTTACCAGGGCGTTGATTTTCAGGAACCGCAGTTATGAAGCCCATGAGGCCAGCCCGGCCAAAAAACTTTGCAACAAAAACGGTAGCATGTCCTTGGGCATCCGCACTGTCAATCCACTGAAGGCACGGACGGAGTATGCATGCCTCACTGCACCCTTTACGCAGGACGCGGCAGCCATTGCAACTCATTTTCAGACAATCCCCTTATCAAACTATTTTGTCTGAGAGGTGAGGCTTGCCCACACCCTTGCCTAAGTAGTACAAATAAGCTTCCCCCAGAAACGTTGGCAACCCTGTGACAAACCAAGAAAAATGAAACCAACTCTTGTCAATATCATGAATGTGAAGATACTATAACCTCAAGTCATGTAATGCACTTGAAAATAAACTCCCAACCCCTCATCATGTTACCTTATCAAACAGAACATGGCGTTTGTCATACAAGTTACACTAGACAGGTGAAAAATTCATGACACACGAACAGACACTCATGCAATCTGCAGCCTAATTCTTTTCTTCTGTCACACTTTCTGTAGCAACGTATCAGTCAAGTAGATAAACACTGCATATAGGAGCAACTTACCAAATATAGAGGCAGGAGGTAGTTGCTGTCAAATAAATCTGAAGCGACCAGCAGTCCAAAGCAAGGGTCGCGCAACCCTCCTCCTCACGAGGATGCTTGTGCTGGCGTTCGTGTGAATCATGTGCTCCGCTTCGGAACTCTCCTGCCTGATACGTGCACGCAGGGTTGGACATACTTTAAGATACTCCTACACTTGCAATTTGATATAATACATGCAAATCTTGTGGCGTCATGCTAATAGAAATACAACTGATTGCGTTTGTAGATGAGAAACCTCTTACACAGTTGTCTGTTACATACAAAACTCTAGCTTACAAACATTTGTTTCTGAACACGCCGGAGACTGAGCAAATACGTTAACTTTATATTACATTCTGCAATTATATCCCTTGAACTTTTCCGCTATTGTTTTTAAAGATAAAAAACAGTTACGAAGTTTCAACCGGCTCACTCTCCAAACGTCTCGTAAAACGTTCTAAACCATTCGTAAATGAACATAATTAGATAGGAAGGAACTCACGCTAGAGACATGGGAAAGTATGCAGTCATGGCAGCATTGCTAGGGTGAGAGGCGTAAGGTGTTGATACCTTCACAATTGGGAACCGACCGCTTCGGTTAGCATAAAACGGCAGCCTCAGGTCCGTCCATGATTGCGGCGTGTCCTCGAAACCTACAGGCTCCAGCAAGTCACGCAAAGAATTCCGATAGTCGAGAGCTGAATTATGCAATAGTGGCGATGGAATATAACAGCCCTAGGTGTATAGAAACTGCGCACTGCATCGGGTTTTTAAGCTTAAGCGTTTGATTGGGAGTCACAGTAAAGCAACTTCCTCTCTGTAGGCGAAGACTCTGGAGAAACGTTTGCACCAAAAAGGTGGGCAGAAGACACGGGTATGTGGAACACTTCACCAGAGGAAAGGAAGCATAATGAGAACGTCAGTCACAGAAGATAACAGAAGAAAAGAAAAGAAAACTACTCGAATCCACTTCGGCAACAAGACAGAGTTGAACTGCAACCAAGATCAAAGCTAGAATGAGAGCGCAAGTCCCTTCTACACGGATTCTGCCCTCACAGAAGCTGCAAAAGAAAATGTGAAGCTATCGAACGACACAGAACAGGCATCCAGCACGAAGAAAAAACAAGCTTTTCAACAACAAAAACTCCGCTACTCTGACGACTTCTACACGCTGTCAGCGTCGCGACAACCGCCCCGAGGAAGAAATTATCTGCTCCCCTCAAGAACTAAAACTCAATACACTGTGCCACTTCGAAAACTTTCGCAGAAAATGAAAGAAAGACGCTAATCGAACTCCGGATCACCAGAAAAAATCTAAAAAAGATTCACTAGTATCATTCCGCACACCACTCCTTCGCCCTTAGACACGCCTCACGCACTGCTCAAACTCCTCCTCTACACAACCTATGCACTTCTTCCCACCCTAGATCCACACAACACACTCACACACTGAGAAACTAAACCCGACGTACTCGCGGGGAGGAAAGAGGAACCAGTCGCTGTTCTCTCTCTCTTTCTCTTCACTGGTTTTCGGACTCCTCAGCGAGCAATTCGACTCCACAGACAAGGCTGGACTCGGCTAGCAAGAAGAAACGCGTAAGAAAGGCACACGCAAGCAGGCAGGAGGAAGGATGCTATGAAGCTCCCTGATGACGATGGACTGAAATGCGAGAGCTAGGGAGGTGCAGCAGAGAGCGCAGTAGAGAGAAGCGCAGAGCTGCGGAGAGAGAGTGCAAGAGGCGATTGGATGCTTGCGAGTGAGGCAAACCGCGAGTAATGAAACGTAGGGAGCCGTAAAGAGGATGGTAAAGAAGCGCCAGGAGTTGGGAGGAGGTGCGAGCGAGGTCGGAGGTGACGATTCCGCAGCAGAAGGAATTTCACGACAATACCGGGTTCTCACTGCCTGGGCTGGGTGCGCGCATGCTGCGGCGACCCGGCCCATCTTCGTGGGGCCCGGCCCGGCCTGCCTGACCTTGCTGATGCTGTGAGTGAGTGTGTCCCCGTGTGAATGGGGATCCCAATTTACTTACTCCTTCAAGGAGGCAGGGCAGGGCATCCACTTCAGGGTCCATTAGATTTGCCCAAAATATGAATACCAGATCTCACTCGTTAAGAAGCGGCTTTGAAAGAGGCTTTCATTTGTTATGAATGAGATTTTATGGTACTTTAATGATGGTCTGCAATAATCACAATTTATGAGAATTTTTAACTACCGCCCAGAAACACACAAATTTACTTGTATTCATACCGTTAAGGATTACATCGGAATGGGAGATATTTTATTAGAGTTTTTTCCTTTATTTTCTTTTCTTTCACTTCATACTTCATTTCACTGCATGGTGCCCATGAAATTTCATGTAAGAAACAGAAATGCATGTAAATGCTGGTTTTATGTTTTAAAACTATGAGAGAAGTCCTTTTCAAATGGAGTCACATGTACAAAAATCTTGCCTGAGTTTACTTTAAAATTTAGCAGAGTCCAGACTTGGGTGATGTTAGTGTCCATGTGTTGCCAGCATCCATATTGATGACTCAAAAAATATTGTTAATGAATTCATTTTTTTCTTTCCTTCCTTCCTTTGTATCATTATACTTTTATAAATATGTGCTTTTCCTTCAGTTATATGTTGTTGAAAATGCCTAAATCAGTTTCAAATTGTTCTGTTAATGCTAATTGCAATAAAATATCATGAAGTGTTTATTTGTTGATAAAATAGCAATTTTTCTATTCACTTCAGGTTTCAAAATTCATCTCTGAAGGTATGTTTCATGTGTGAGTGTGTGTGTGGATTTTAATATGTTGTTTGATAGCATTGTCATGTATACAATAACAACAGCAACAGCAAATTGAATCCAACACACACATGCACACACACCAAGAAAGAAAGAAAGAAGGAAAGAAGGAAAGAAAATTATATATATAAAAAAAAAACAAACAAACAAACAAACAAATAAAGTATTGGTTATTGGTTCAGTTTTATTCATTTACTTATTTAAAGTAGAAAAATGCGTAATTTTTTTTCTTTTATTTTCTTTTTTGAATTCACTATATGTTAAAACATAAGTCATCATACTCTTATTCTTAAAATTTACCTTTGGGATTCTTTGCAACAATTATGAGTGATTCTTTTAACTGCATCTGATGAGAAGTTAGAATTGAGTAACATATATACATAGTTTGTGAGTATCATGCCTTTCTAAACTTTCATCACAGGTTTGGTGACTAGTAACCATTAAAAAAACGTTTTCAGGAGTGACATAAATAATATATTAAATCTTTTCTGTGACCTCTTTTTTATCTTTTTTGAAGCAATAGATGATATTCTCCCACATGAAAGTGCACCATCATTTGGAATTCTCTCAACATTAGTCATCAATCGCAAAATCCTCAAGGAACCTGGCTAACAACTCCCAAAGACACTTTTATCACACTGCTGGTCCCTGTAAACCATGAGCCCTCCATTCTGAACAAGCAATCATAAACTTTTCACATTTTTAGCAATTTCTTGGAGCTCCTCATAAGACTCACAGCAGCTCAATTATCACATTTCACAAAGACTGCACATCAATACTACATATCAAATTTGCCTCAATTGTGAAGTGTGAATGACCCCAGAATGCTCACCTAGAAACAACCCAGACAAAATAGGAAAAAAATAAATTTAAAAATAAATAATCATCAAGGTTGACAGTTTATCCTTTTATTTTGATTCATGTATTTTCAAACAAACATTTACATTCAACATGTAATTATGCATCCTTGAAAAATATCAGGACAGAAAAGTATATATATATATATATATATATGTATATCACAGATGTATCACAGCTAGAAAGATTTTAGATTTTATTGGAGTTTTGTTTTGAGGGTACTAGGGCAGATTTTATCCAAATCCAACACTGAGAAATCCACCATTTCATAAGCTTCAGATTTCATAGTACACATAAGCTATCCACAATCAAGCAGCTGATTAGTTTGAATCCCCCCACATAAGCCCCCCCCCCCCAATAAGATACTGCGTACTACTTCCCAAGCCCCTGCCTGCCACGTCATCAGCCCAGATAGGCTCAGTCCCCTTTCACACACACACACCCTCCATTCTTCTAGGAAGCCCATGACAGCCCCACGTTCAGCGCCTCCACTACCCTTCTTCAAGGTTCCCAGCAGTGTCTCTTCGCATCCTGAAAGCATTCCCCATCTTTCTCCCTTTTTTTATGCTCATCGTTACTTATTTTATACCAACTGATAAGTTCCCCTTGATGCCTCCTCCTCCTCCTCCCCTTTTTGATTTCTGTATGGAGGGAGGGATCATTCCTCAGCTAGCTCCTTGATAATGTTTGAGAACCTATGATAAGTGAGATGAAAATGGATGGGTATGTATATATAGATGAATGAGGAAATAAAGCTAGATCTGGCCACTGCATTATATAGTTATAATAATAGTAATAGATATACGGGGTTTATAAAATATATATATATATATATATATATATGTATGGGTCAGACATGACCAGAGAGCAATAGCCACAGTCCACGGAACTGTTGATACCCGGAATCAGTGGGGCAAGTAGGGGCAGGCAGCTTCTTCACAAGTTGCAGGCTGGCAGGTAGGCAGGGAAGACTTTTCACTCAGGTTTCCTTTAAGCCCCTTTAGGAGTGTTCATGCTTATCCCCACACCTGTGGAAGAAGATAACAATAATAATATAAAAAAACAATAATAATCGTCGTCATCGTTATCACCACGATAATAGTAAACAAATAACCACAACAACAATAAGTAGCTGCTGTTGGCAGAAAAGGGGCTCCACTGTTATACCCTCCCTGGCCCCTCTTCACCCCTGCTGCTTCTGCTGCTATCTGGGGTGCGTCTGGAGTAACTTCAAATCCAAGCTGAGATCTACCCTCTTAATGATCCAAATTCCAACTCACATCTCGGTATCTCTCTCTAAAAACCCAGAACTAAGTTTCAGAGCAACGTTTCTTAAGAAGTTTAACTTATTTAAAGAGGGGGTGAGGCGTCTCTTTAGAACTGGCTCCTTGCACCTGAAAGGTAGTTAAGTTGCAGAAGCGGAGAGTAGTTGAACATGTGTGCAGAGGGAGATGCCAGTGTGAATGCGTTCCGATGGGTTTCAGGGCTCTGGAGGCGAAAATCCAGGAGAGTAGACAGAAAAGGATAAAAAGAGCTTTGATAGGTGCCCAGTTTTGGGGATGTCCTGCAGGGAAGGAGGGAGGCAGGGGGAGGGTCGGAAATGGAGGAGAGGGTCGAGAATGGAGGAGAGGGTCGAGAATGGAGGAGAGGGTCGGAATCCAAAGCAGAATTTCAGGCTCGGAGGATCTGGTGAGAGAGGCGTGGGATGACTAGGCTGATAAGGTGAAGTAGTGGTAGTAGTAGTAGTAGGGCTCTGAGACGTAGTGTAGTGCTGCTTTTTGAACTGTTGGCGGTTGGAGGTACTTGGAAGCAAACAACAAAAACCCAACATCCAATGCGAGGCCAAGACCAAGACCAAGACCATTTGAAAGCTATCATATGAAATGAATTGGGGCCGTGGATTTTTTCTCTTGTAACATTCGTATGACTATTGCGTACTTGAATATATATATTTTTGTAATGATTACCTTTTTTGCCTTTCTTGTAATAATATGATCATTTTGTTGAAACCCATCTGGAATTCCCACACATATAGTATTCATTCATAGAATGTTGATTTATGCTGTGTCGCTACATTGGATGAAAACGTGCATGACAAGTGGAAGCCGAATAGTGTTTGTGCGCTCGTTCGTTCAAAGTAATGGATGGGGGCCATCCATCCATCCGGAGCGCGTGAGAAGAGTATACAGCTTGCCAAGAGGCCAGCGGTGGAGCTTTCTTTCACAGACTGTGAGCAGAGAGATCTCAGGAGCTGTGTGGGCAATATTGTTCCTCAATTCCGGACTAAGTCGTACCCCATGGTTCCCCACTGAGTTACTGCACGGGAGCGGCGGGCAGAAGTAAGTTTTTTATTTTATTATTGGGCAGCCCTAATTACACATGCAACAAAGAGTGGGCTGGCACGGCTTCCAGCCATCGCAACCACAGAATAGATTCGGTAGTGGCCCCGCCCCGCCTTGGGAACTGCTCCCCTTCTTGCTGCCGTCTATATATATATATATATATAGATAGATAGATATGAAGTATGGCAAGCTTAAGATTGCAGGAACTAACATTACATAATTGTATTGTTTGTACTATCAGGCACATGCACTATTTTTCATGCAGGAACCATGATTCTGAAATATTGTGTTTATACATGATTTAGAAGAATAACCAAATACATGTTTTTGAAGAACTTTTTGAATTTGACTCCATTTCAATTCAAAAGGATGTGTATAAAAAGTTACTACTGCAACAATGTCGATTTTGACAGGAGTATTGGATTTTTTTGTAATGTACACTCTTAAATAGAATAAACAATGGGCAACGATCAAAATTTAAACACTTTTACACTAAGGAATGCAGATTTCTAGATGAAATCCAATTCAATTTGATTTTAAAAAAAATTAAAAGAAAAAGAAAAAAGGGTATGATATAATTCAGTGAATACTTGATGTCAATTGCTTCAAATATATACGCTCCTCAAAATTAAAGAGCATGAATGGAGTATTTGAAATTAATTCTATGCAAAAATAATAATAATAATAATAAAAATCCGATTATTTCATATAAGAAGCTTGACAAAGAATGATCTCATTGACTTTCTGTTTGATAATGAATGATTTAAATAAACATGTCCATATTGTATGAAATTTTTCTTTAACCAAATATAGACGTATTCATTCTATCCAGAAA